ACTTTGAATTGGGCCCGGGCAGCAACTGGTAGCCAATGTAACTAGAAAAGAATCAGCTTGATGTGTCCCCTAGCGGCCCTACCACTCACCAGCCGTGCAGCTCATTTCTGGACCAGTTGCAGTTGCTGGACCGTCTTCAAAGTCAGCCCCACGTAGAGTGCATTGCAATAATCTATACGAGATGTTACCAGTGAATGTGTAACTGTCATGAGACTCCACTCGTCTAGGTAGGGCCGTAGCTGGTACAATTTCCACAGCTGAAGGAAGGCGCCCCTGGCCACCGAGTCCACCTGGGCTTCCACCTACACTAAACTCCAGGATGTCTTAGTTTTTTTTTAAAAAAATGAGTATTAATCATTTCCAACTTTGGAAGAGCATTGCAATGACTTTAAAACTAAACTGATCCTATACCCCTAAACAGAGGGGACATCAAACAGTTCTTTGACTTACTTATTGGTTAAACTCTCTGAAACAGTGTAGGAATAAGCAAGCTGCTTGCGAAACAAATGTGCAGAACAGTGGCTTTCATTTTGCTTCACAACCTGGCTTCTGTTCAAGCTACAGACTTGTTACTACTGCTGCTGCTTCTTTTTCTTTTAAATTATTGTAGAAAGGGGAATTACTAACTTTAACAGGAATGAATGGTAAGGTAATTTTCTGACATGTATAAAAATAAACTGATAAACTAATCCTAAGAGCAGTTGAATGTAGAGGAAACCTTTCTAATGAGCAATTACCTAAGTGCAGCTATATTGATGGTTTAAGAAAAGAAAAATCGAAATCTCAGGATAATGGTTCAGCCTCTCAGGGCAGCAAAAAAGCAACTCTTCTCTTCCCGAGGAGACAGAGCCAAATATTGAAGGGTTCCTCCTCTTCCATGAAATTTCTGTGTGGCCCATGTTTCTCAGAGGGAGAGACATTAACCCTTTGTTGGTTGCCATTCTTCCACTGGTGAATTAGGCAAGCCACTTGAATTCATTCCAATTCTTCTACAACTTTTGAGGAATATAATAATCCCTGTGCTTGTTGCTAGCATTTTCCCATTAGTGGTGCAGATACATCCTTGAATTGATGGATATGTAGTACAATTTGTTACTAGTACAATTTGTTACTATTATTTTGTTAGTGTATATTTCAGCATGAAAGTGAGAATCTGGTTTATCAGAAGATTTGTTTTACTAAATTCATCCTGTCTTGGCTCACCTGACAATCTGCAAACCCAATCAATATAGCTACCAAGGGTAGTCACTCATTAGAAAGCTTTCATCCACATTCAAGTCATCTTAGCACAAGCTTATCATTTCATTGTTGTTCGTGTCAGAAAAGTACACCTACCTTTCTGAAGTACCATTTGTTCCTGTCAAGGTTAATTCTAATCTAGTTCCCCCTTGTACAGTACTCTACATGGCAATCCTGCTTCAAAGTGATATTAGCCTTACCTCTGATTAGATCCAATTTAATACACAGTGTTTCAGCAGAAAACTGCAAGAATTTTAATGGGTGGATAATTTGTAGGCAGCATTGTTATTCGTGCTATAAAGTGGTAATATTACCATGTGATGAAAATCATGGTGTAGCCAGTTGGGTAGTTGGGAGGGTTAGGATGGAGTCCCATCAAAAGAAAAGAAGTGAAGGGTCATGATATTTGGAACAAGCAATTTTGCTCAGCGCTTGGCAAAGACTAAGACAGGGTGGCCATGTATCTTATTTACACAGGACAGTCCCCAGCTGGAAGTGTTCTCTAGTCCAAGCACAGTGAGGGGTGAGGGTTCATAAGAAGGGAGAATGCAGACCTTGACTTTCCCTTTTATTTATGAGCATCTGGACGGGAGACTGAGGAGGCTCAGAGGCTCATAGATGGCAATGGAGGAATGCCTTAACTCTGGTCATGAACTGTCTGTGCGTAGAAGTCACCTTCTCTCCTTTTTCTTCTCTGTGGTGAAATGTATCATATTTCTTTTCACAATCACAGGGACTATTTATGCATTTGTATTGATACAGTATTTTTAGATTAGCACCTGCCAATTTTATCTCTCTGTCTATCTGTCCATCGATCCATTGATCCATCCATCTATCTCTGTGTGGCCTCTGTCTTGAAGTTGCATGTGACCACCTCCCTTTTTTTGGCAATCTGGGTTATATTC